ATGACTCAGAAATCTGTCTGTGACAAACGCCAGCTCCCTCGGCCTGAAAGCAAGATGAGTGCTCCACCCCATAGTCGCCTTTGACTGGACTTAACTGTCCATATATCACATTATATGTGATAATGATTTGTATTTTTAGCAGAATTGGTGGGGGGGGGCTAGTTCTCATCATGATCAAGACAGAAATTAGAGGAAACCTTGGAGATCCAGATCCAGATTCAAATAATTCCATCCATAATCCATTCATAATATTGATTTACCAAAAGGGAATGATGCTAATTATACCATACAATAAACTCAACTCAATATTACAAAGCACAGCCACACACATAGGTTAACAGTAGCATTCCATCTTCATGTTTCTTTATTCAGATTAATTCTGGATTGGTACAAATTCAAATATCAAACAGTAGCACTGAAGACAGTAAAGCATACTGAAATGATGATAAGATTTTTCTCCATTTTTCTCTTGCATTCTCATGAGCTGATGTCCTTTAAATTTGTTCTGTGGAAACCAAAATGAAATCTTCAAAAAGCAACCTATAAGAGATACATCTAGAATTGCAGCACATATGTGATGGATAAAAGGCTATCACATGCATACTTTGGACTAAGAATAGTTGAACATCTCCATCGTGTGTAATGATTGAACTGCACCCCAGATATTTTCTCTCTGAGTTTCTCCTTTAAAGTTTCCTCTGGGGCCAGTTAGAAGCTTTCTGCACAGGACTGTTTTGTTAAAGGCTGCTTGCAAAAGGTAGCAGATACCTGAAAGAGTCACGTGTGCACACTTTTCAGGTGATATGTGATCATTCAAAACATTGAATAGAGAGGATGAATTTAATTCAGAGCCATTCCTAGTTGAATCCACACTATTTCTGTGATGATGATTCCCCCGATATCACCAAGTTTCAGAACTTGGGTTACTGGGGCGGGCAGGGTTCAAAAATGAACAAGGCAAACACAGAGGGGAATTTAAAACCAACTATAAAATATGATACAGAAGCAGATGCAAAGGTGACAGCTGATAAATTCCCAATGTATTCTAACAGTACATTTCTTAAAGGAAGATATTCTTATGTAAAATCAATCAGAACAGAAGGCAAAATGTGGCACGCATATTTCGGTTTCCATGCAATAAAACAACCTACTGTCATAAACTATTGGTGCCAACAGAAGGACTTCTTCCAAATGCAAACACTAGTTTCAGGGAAGAAATCCCCCCCCCCCCAGTTTTATTAAAGCTTATTCATAATACAATAAGATAAAATAAACCAATTAAATAAAAACAGGGAAAGAAAGAGGAAAGAAAATGCAGAGTCCTCTCTCAGACATAGCTCTTAACCCTTGTCGCCCACAGAAGGTGGGCCCTCCCAGCTCTTACCTGGGAGCTCTCCTTTCTTCTCTTAGAAGGTCTTCACTTTCCTGCCTTTCACTTAGGGTCTTTCTACTAACCATCCACTACTTTCATGTGTGTGTAATCCTTGGAACCCAGTAACGGCCCAGAGCAGAGGACACTAAAGAAGAAGAAAAGGGAAAGAGGAAAGGAACAAAATAAAAATAAAAAAGGAACTCAGATTTTCCATTGGTGAGTTGCACAAAATAAACTACTCACAACATTCACTCTAGGATGACATCCAACTATTAAACTTTTTGTTAAGCAATATTTTTCTAATCTTCAGACCCAAATGCCTCAAATTAATTCCTTTTCCTTTTCACACGAGTCAAAAAGGGGTTCTCTAATTATTATTATTAATAAATGCCAGTAATTTTATTACTGACATTTATTAATAAAAACAAATAAGAAAAATGGTATTTTTCTCTAATCACTGGTTTTCTGCATCCAACACCAGCAGCAGACCTTGGTCTGAAACCCTGCAAGTCAGTTTAGACAAAACTGAACTGGATCAACCAATGGTTTGACATAAGGCAGCTTCCCATGTACCAATTTCTGCTTCCATGTCACTGAGTTTAAGGTAGGAACCTTAACTTACCATTCCCATGCCATTTGGTCTTTAAGTGCCATAATACCTCCCTTAAACCAGGTGTGGGGAACCTTTTTCTGTCTGAGGGCCCACATTCCTTTCTGGACAAACTTCTGGGGTCCATGTGCCTCTGCTGGACAGAGGCAAAGGAGGAAGGAGCAAAGAATATTACCTTTATACAGTAGGCTAATAGTTTCTATACAATCTCTCACACCCTCTCTATTCTCTATCCAAGCAAGCAAAGATGCACTATTAGAGTTCATTTACACTTGAGGAGGATGCAAAGCAGAGCCAGTAAGAGCAGTGGTGGCTGGTGCCAATTGGGACTGGTGAGATGGAAGGCAGGGAGCCCAACAGTGGGTGCAGCCAGAGCCGAGAGCAGGTGGAGTCTACTCATTCTAGTTTTGTCCCCATCCTCTTGCTTGCTGAGTTTTTCAAGGGCAACAATGGAGGAGGGAGCTGACAGACAGTGCAACACCCTGGACTGGATGTAAGTAAGAAGGCAGGCAACCAAGAGGTGGCTGAGGCCCAGATGAGTGTAGTGGGGCAGTGCCCCACTTTCCATAATGGACCAGCCTCCATCTGGGGAGACCAGATAAAGAGGCCTGAACCCTCAGACCCAAGGTTCCAGACCCCTGCCTTAAACTGAAGGAGTTTTCCTTTGCAAAAAGCAAACCGAGTGAGACTTTCCTGTTCCTCTGCCGTAGTTACAGCCCCTCATACTGTCAATCTAGTCATTTACACATTTACGACAAGTTATTATACACATAACACCGAGGTGAGATGTTTTCATCTGTGTCATGAGGCACTCAATGACCCTTGATTTGCGCTAGGAAATGGTGTGAGGGGAATGAGAGTGAAGATGAATTCCAATTGAGGCTGTAAAAATCAGGTGTACTGAGGCGAAAGGGACATGCCTGGCAATTGATACGCCTGCCAGCGGGGAGGCTGCAGGTGCGCCTGCTGTTGAACAACTGCTTGCTGAGTAACATTTGATTTTCTGGTCCACCTCAGAGACAGGAAAGGCAAGTTTACCTTACTCTGCCTATTACATCCCTCCCAATCCCCAGCTGAGAGCTCAATTTAGCATGTGGAAAGGAAACAAGGATTTAATCTTCAAAGGCCAATGCGGAAAGAACGTTCATGGATCTGTGCATGAGGCCACAAAGTTAGTATTCGGTGACCACTTCAAATTGAAACTGGATCAGTAATGAATATGAAGTCATAGTGTGGATTTATCCAGAAAGATAAAATGCACCATTGCTTGAGTCCTCCAGACAAAAAGTTGATAGGGATCCACTGATAAATCTCTGGGTGATCTGACGTAGAGAAAGCTGTGTATGGATCATACATTTAAAGCACCTTTCCCTCAAAGAATCCCAGGAACTGTATTTTATCCCTCACAGATCTAAAATTCCCAGCTCCCTTAACAATTACAGTTCCCGGAATTCTAGGATACGTGTACTTTAAATGTAAGGTGTGTACTACACTACTTACATGGCAAGCACATCCATTAATAATGGCAGCAATTTCTCTCTCTCTCCCCATACAAACTATACTGTAGAAAGGACGAGGGCGAGGTACAGGGTAACAAGGAGTAGATTTTTGTGTAATAAGACTGTTAACAGACTTAAGTTCTGTTATGGACCAATTTCTGTGTTTAGAATTCTTTACTTCTGGATATGTTTTTGGTAGGGTTGCCATATTCTGGGTTACAGAAACCTGGACACATTTGGGGGCACCCCCCATCCCCCATCTACACCCTCACCCCTCCTTGCCGGTGACCCTTCCTCATTCACCCTCCAGCCTCCCTCCCCCATCCCATCTAACCTACCTTTCTCCAGTTGTTTTCCTCCTTAGCCCCCCCCCCGAGAACATCAGGAAAAGCGGTGCAGCACTCTGGGCGCTGCAAGCCGGGCACTGCCTTCTGAAAGTTGTGGAGATTTTTTAAAAGGCGGTTGCCATGTCTCCAGGTTTTCCAGACATTTGAGTAATTTCTGGAAATTCTGCCCAGACACTATTCCAGTCAAACGAATCCCAGATATGTCCAGGAAAACCTGGACGTATGGCAGCCCTAGTTTTGGGCATCTGGCTCTAGATAGTGGATCTTGGTGCTCTACTGCAAAAAGGAAGTAGATCCTGAAAGTCAGAGGTGTACCTACCTCTACGTACTCTGCATTCAGGGACTTGAAAAACATAAACACATATCTTGATATATGGATCATGCTGCAGCTGAATGCAGATTCTTTTTGTTTGTTTTACCAAGGTGAAAAAGTGCCACTAAAACATCACAAAAGAATCTGGATAAAATCATGTGCCGAAGTGACTTGCCTCGGTGGAGTGGAACCACAACACAAGCATCACAGCAAGTGGGTTTCTCCCCCCTCCCACTTACTAAGAGGGTGGAGGGTTGTGCAGCAGCAGAGAGGTCAACACAGGTACAGGTTCACCAGCAGACTCAATCTTGCACCCTTTCTAATGCACCTACACTGGAGCAATCTCCCTGCTGCCTCGCCCTTTTTCCTCCTAGAAAGTGGCAGTAGCACACTTGTAAGGAAGAATGCATTGCCACTCCAGCCCACTAGGCAGGCCACTTCTGTATGTATGATCAATGTGCATCTACTGCTATACAGTATCAATGTCCATGTGTCTGTTGGTAATGTGTGGCAGGGATGGAAATAAACTAAAGGAATTTGAAGCTGAAGTAGGCAGAACTAATGGAATAACAGAGGTGCAGAACCAGGGAACTTCCATCATTCTCACATACTTGAGGCTCCAGTGACATGTGATAGATGAGGCGCCACCAGAAGGAAAAGCAGAGAGGGCATTAAAGGACTCCACTGAGCTCTGTGGCAGAAATGTGGAACCAATAGTTCGATCTCTGCTCCATCAGGACCCTTTACCATTGAGCCATTGAGTTTCGTGCCTTAAAATGTCATAAATATCAATGTTTTGGGTTCTAGATTCAGGTACGTAGCCGTGTTGGACTGACGCAGTCGAAATATACAAAAAAATTGTCCAGTGGCACCTTAGAGACCAACTAAGTTTGTTATTGGTATGAGCTTTCAGAAGTGTGCATGCACACGAAAGCTTATACCAAGAACAAACTTAGTTGGTCCCTAAGGTGCCACTGGACTTTTTTTTATTTTATTTTATAATGTTCTGGGTGTTTATATGCCAACATTCAAAGCTGGAATGTCCATCAATGTATTTGAAATTCTGCCTTAAAATTGTGCTTTCCATTTCGGCTGAGATGATGCAGTATTTTGTTTCTCAGAACTGTAATTTGGAAGGGAGAAAACTTCTCATCAAGAGAACATTTTTGTTTTTTGTTTTACCCTCGTCACAAGTTTACGTAAATGACGCTCTTTGACTCAGCCTGTGAATGCAGCCATCCACCCACATAAATAGAAGGCGGGAATAATTACATTATCCCTCTCCTGTAGCTTGTAATTAATAATTGCAATACTTACTTAATTACACCAGTCGTAATTGTTGGAGGGTGGCTTCCCCCCTTCCTTAAATTTTTTTTGATTAAGACAATCCAACAACTCGCGTGGTTATGCTGCCTGCTGCATTTATTAGCACAGCAGGCACTGTCAAATGCTTGTCAGCAATTTGCATGTCATTTACTGCTGAAACTGTGTCCTTTGCAGGAATGTTCTTTTCAATCAGGGAAATCACGTATGTCTCACCCTCTGCTTCCATGTTCATAATAATATATTGCAACACAAAGCCATCCTGGTCACATTGCTTCCAATAAATATAAATCAACTCCAGCCCACGCGCCTATGAATCAATCCAAAATGGCTTCCGCTTTAGCCAAGTTTCAGTCATTATCCCACTACCACCCTGCAAAATAAAACCCTCATTCTACAGAGTTTCTGTAATAAAGCTTCTCATATGGTTCTAAGCAGAACTAAAGGTGGAATTTCATGGGTGGTTTCTCACTTAAGAAAATAGAGATGCTGAAGATATACACTTGAACTTGGGTTCTACCCCCTTCCCAACTAGACTCCATTCATAGAAATTTCCTGTACCCTATTCCTGCCAACCTGTCAACCCACCAAGTACCCTCATTGCCTTCCCTACCTTTTCCATGTACTTAGTTACAAGAGGAGAAGGGAAAGGGAAGAAAACTGGAGCAGTTAAGAGCAAGGAGAATGGGGGTTACAAAGACAAGGCTCAGGACCTCAATACTTCATTTGAACCAACCTGGACACTTTGTTCATCAGCTGAGGTCCTTCTTCATACGCCCTCTTGGGAAAGGGTTGTAGCTCAGTCAATGATTGTAGAAGGTCCCAAATTCAATCCCCAGCATCTCCTGGTGGGGTCAAACCCTGGAGAATCACTTCCAGTCAGTGGAGACAATACTGAGATAGATGGAGCAATTATAGCTTCATGTGTTCCTCTACGAGGGAGGTATGGAGGGTGGTGAAACAAGAACAGGCCTTTGCAGTGATGACTCCCCATTTGTGGAGTGCTGTCCACAGTGAAGCACGCTGGTTGTCATTGTTGTCTGTTCCCAGGACAGAACCTGTGGCCCTCAAATGTTAATGGACTACAACTCCCATTATCCCTGACCATACTGGCTGGCACTAATGGAGTCAGAGTCTAGCAACATCTGGAGGACCATACAGGTCCTTCCTAGCTGCCTCAGGTGAATGTATATCTGTGGTTATTGTGAGTTGTAAAAATTAACTACAGCAAATGGCCTCAAAATCCACAGCTTTTCTCCCATTTAATCTTGACCTAACAGGAGTTTAAACTTTGCTATGAAATGTGCCTCATCACTGAAATTTATTTTTTCCCATACTAAAATAACTCAAGGGTTCAATGCTTGGGTTAGCGATTTAAAATCTGCCTATATAGTTCCTTCTCTCCGCTCACTTGGAATAGATATCATGCTGTCATGAGAACTTCAAAGTCACACTAAGGCTGAGCTGAAATTTCTCAGATTAGAAATTTCTAACAATTGTTTTTGAAAACATTCTTTTCGGGCTCTTTTTAAACTATTAGAATAGTTAAGACTGTCCTTTGGAGAATATTTGGCAAAAAAGTCACTCTCTCCAATTTCAACCTCCATGAACTCTGGGTGCAAACATGGATCTGGTTTTAATATTGTTTCATGTTATTTTAATACTATTGAAGGAAGCAGCAAGCCTGATCCCTACTACTTCCAGAGCTCCTTTCTTAGTCCATAGCTACCTTCATTCACCAGCAGGAACTAAAATTAGAGGTTCATTCAACACAAAGATAGCGCTCTTATAGCCACTTCTGGACATAAATATCATTGAACTCAATGGGACTTCTCAGTAGACCTATAGCGTTGGGTGAATGCATCTATTTTTGTTTCTCTCAGTTTCTAGTTTTTCCAGTCTTAAATTCAATTCTCCACATTTCTGCATCTATTTGCTTTAAAAAGAAAAATTAAACAAAAAAACAGGGAAGTGTGCAATTCTGACTTTTCCCAAAAATGTGCTTCTCACCCTGTTTAAATAAACCAGGAGCAAACCAGGAGCAAATCATATTTTCTGTTGAAGTGTGCTCATGCTTCCTAGTCTGTGTGTTTAGAGAGAGAGAGGTGCTTGTCTAATCACTTCTTCCTCGTGGAAAACCTACAGCCTAGAGTTGCAAAAGATTAAGTGTGATTGCTCTAAGTTGAATACATTCATACATCAGTGTCCCAAGCAAAATTGATAACTCTGTAGCACAGCTGGGTTTCATCCACACACCCTACAAACCCCATCCCTGTTTTCAGCAGGAGGCAAAGTTCTGGAACAACTCTGGGTTGTTGTGGGTCTAAAATGCCCGGAGGTAGCCAGAGCACAGAAGACTATTTTACTAAATAACAAAGATGAAAGTGAATTGATGTAGCTAGGGGATGCCTTTCTGTCACCATTAACTTCAAGTAGTCCTGCACATCTGGAATTATAGATCAGGAAGGTTTACTGGAACTCAGCTTGTGAAGGTCTTGCAGCAATTCTCATTTGAGACCTTAAGCACTGCCTCCCAGCATTAGGAAACAGCCCCTTTTGCTGCATGATTCTTAAGCTCAGAGTCCTCTGCAAGATGGATTTAAAAGCATGTAAATTGGAAGATGTTCCTGCCAGACACTCTCAGCAAAACTGTCAGAATGAAGGATGATCCTACCCATCAGAGCAGCCAAGGAATTCAAGTCAACTCTCCTGGAATAACTCTCATAAGGGGGAAATATTGGCAAATATTGTCAGGTGGGGTTTGTAGGATGTTTGGTTGGGTTTGCATTTGGGGTCAATTCCTGGGTAGCATTCTTCTCCTGGACTAACCTAATATTGTGCACTTAAACTTTGGGTGCCAGCATTAAAAATAATGATCTCAATACCATGAGAAAGTTCACATTCAGATCTTAACTTTATATGGTAGTATCTTTTCCTTTCTTTTACGCAGTCCTATGCATGTTTACTTAGAAGTAAGTCCCATTACATTAAACAAACTTTTTTAGCAGGGGGCCGGTCCACTGTCACTCAGACCTTGTGGGGGGCCAGACTATATTTTTGGGGGGGACATGAATGAATTCCTATGCCCCACAAATAACCCAGAGATGCATTTTAAATAAAAGTACACATTCCACTCATGTAAAAACACCAGGCAGGCCCCACAAATAACCCAGAAGTGCATTTTAAATAAAAGGACACATTCTACTCATGTAAAAACATGCTGATTCCCAGACTGTCCTCGGGCTGGATTTTGAAGGCGATTGGGCCTTAGGCTGCCTACCCATGCATTAAACAGATCTTTCTCCAAAGGGTGCATAGGTTATTGTCTAGAAAAAGAGGTCTATGGATGCTAGGATTATGCAGGAATATGGAAGAAACTTGGAACATGGTAATTGATGCAGGTTCCTTTCACTTTTTTTAAAAAAGTAGATTTCGAGTCCTTATGGCATTGAAGATAATAAAATAATTATATGGGCATTATCTGGAGATATTTCATAAGCCAGTAGGTGTAGTTGCACTTCCATCTCTTCCATGGCTTCTTGCATAACTGAACTCTCCCCCTCCCTCTCCTTTCTCTGAAGGCCTCCTAAATCCCACCTCCTGAATTCTCTAGGGGGGTTCCCTAACCCTCTGGAGCAGGTTTGGGAGAGAAGGTAAGTTTCATTGCACAAACAGATGTCATTCAATGCATGCAATTACTTGGCTGGATTCAATCCCAAAGATTTGTCTAACCCTTGTTTAAACACTACCCCAATCTATTACATTGACAACGACAACAGTGTTTGGTTTAATGTTGAATTACAAAGACTCTTTTAAAAAAAAAATCCTACAACAAAATCAGGCAAGTGTCTGCTTGCCCAGGAACAAATGGATGTTTCTTTAAATGCATCGCCTGTTACATCACATTCCAATGCATGTGATATATTTACAATCCACTATATGGTGTAGATCACCAAATCATCAAATTCAAAATACTTGGTCTGTGAGCACATAGAATATATGTCTGCAGTGCTCCACATGCTCTCAGGGTTTACTTCCAGGCAAATCTATGGAGGATTGCAGTCATATATCACAGACACACACCAAACAAACTTTTCAGTTTGATAATTTGGTGATCTACAGTGTGTGGCTGGGTTGTAAATTTCTCCCATGCATCAAGACATGACATAATGGGCAATGCATTTTAAGAGTCTTCGTTTAGTTCCTTTCTTCACTCTCCCTCTCATATTTTCAGTAATACAAGGAAAAAAGGAACAAACCAAATGAAATGAAACACATAAAACAAAATGAAGTGAGGTGAGGATGAAATGAAATAAGGCAGTTCTAAGCCATTTTGAATCATAAAGAATGCAGAATGAATATCAGCCCAAATATTCATCAAAGCCATTTCGTTTGTGAAATTCACTTGCAAATAGAGAAGGTTTCTGATCATTTCAGTCGTAATAAGCAACCAGGCAAAGAAGACAAGTATTAACAATTTCCTTGTGCACATGAGTAAAATGCAGCTAGCTGTGTATGTGTGTGTGGTGGTGATGTTTGTGTTCCTCCTTCCCACAGAGGTTGAAACAATCTTTTCTTATAGCAGACTGCTTCCTTTGAAGCAGAAAATGCCAGTGACTTGTGATATGTTTGTAATACATCATACCTTGGATCCCAAA